AATTATTAGTTACAATTAATAATCTCATATTAATAATTTATTGATAAATTAATTATATAATTACATTGATTTACTTTTAACTATTATATATGGTTAATCAAGTAAACACGATGATTTATTTTTTCCCTATAGTAAATATGACTTGAAGTGACCAATTAGTAGTGAGTATTTTGCATAAAAACTATTGAAGAATTTACGGTGTATGCTACGGTAGAGAAACACATTTACATTGTTACACAGTATATTAAAGGGGTTAGGTGAGTATTCTACCAAGAAAAAGTAAAGGAGTTTAATAATCATACATTAATATTAATATTAATAGTAATTTTATATTATTAACTAATTAACTATAATTGTTAATATATATATATTTTTTTATTATAAAAATTAACGACTTACGATAAATGGTACCTTGTGATTAAACGAGAAAGAAAAAAAAATTCATTATATCACCTATTTTATCAAAGAAAAATTATAGATAAAGGTAATACTGTGGAAGTTTAAAATTTAAATTTATTAAAATTATTTATTATTAATCTTTATAAAATTAAAAATTACGTATATGGAAAAAAAATTAACACGTAAATTTATCGTTTAAAGCAAAAAAAAAAAGTTTTACTCGGTATTGTGCATATCTGAATGACAGAGTTTGATAAAAAAAAATCTACATATAGTTTTTTTAATTATATTATTCATATAAAGTATTTATTGACTTAATTTTTCAATAATAAATATTTAATAAAAAAATTCTATCGATAATGAATATGAGTTTAATTTTCCTCAAAACATTAAATTATTGGTCTGACAGAACAGTACTTATGGCAGGTTAGGTTCACTCATATATAATGTCCATTACCCAATTATGATATGATATGATGTCCATTTTTCATTATTCATATTTAAGTGGCATCATTGAATTGCTCTACGTACACTTCAATTCTTTTAAACAAGTACATTAAAACTTTTTAAAAACATCTTTTCATAAAAAATGAAGCAAATGGAATATATACATATACCATCATAAAATCTGCTTGAAATGTTAACAGTTTTAAGGCAAATCAAACATTAGTTCACTAGTAAAATTTTCATACTTTTACACAATATTTTTAAATTTAAATAGACATTAAAAACATAAATTTATAAGATAAAAATATATTTATTGTTATATAATAATGTCATGTATGTTAGTACAAAAATGAAAGCATAATAAATATAAATTCACTAATTTTACTAAGAGAAAGAATCTCTATTTTTTTATTTATAAATATAAAATATAAAATAAAAGTGAGAGAGAAGTTATATAAAATAAAAATAGGAGTGTGCAATTGAAGAGTAAAACATCAATTAGACAGTTAGACAAAGAGAGTGCAATAAGTTATCATTACATGCAATCGAAGAGTAAAGAACTAGAGATGTTTATAGTAATAATAAAGGCCCAAAAAAAAGTCTATCCTCCTTATTATATACTTGTAGGAGAAGTCGCACTTTGTGAATCTTAATTTAAAAAGTAAAAATAAAAAATAAATAAAGTGGATAATAGCTAGTTATTAAGAGGGTGAAAGGAGATTTTTGATTTATTATAATTTTTTAAAGATAAAAATAAGAGAATAAATAATGAATTGGGTATATAATTATTGAAAAAGTATGAAGATGTTACCAACTCTGTGAGAAAATAAATTAAAAAACTTTTAATTTTCTAGTTTTTAAGCAATTAAAAGGTGTAATGACCCAATTAAAAATAGAGACAAAAACAGAGAAATATCCCTTTATTTATATATTGATATAGATGATTAAATAAAATAATTAAAAAAATAAAACCTAAAGATTATTCAAATGAAAAAAAATATTTTACTTCTTTTAATTTCATCACAATACTTCTGCTTTGCCAATTGCGAAAATCCAATTGGGGAATGTATGGACTTTATGTTTTTACTGATGTAATTTTTATTCAAAATTTAGTACAAATTAGAATGAATTAAATTTAAGTAATCAATCCTCTATGTATTAAACAAACCTAACATATGCTTGGCATGTAGAGATTTTGAGGATTTCCTGGGAAGCAATTGGGTAGCGCATATTTTGGGTAGTTAGGGCTCTTCCTCGTCTCCTATGAAAAAGTTATAGCTCTCTCCCTTGGTGGAGTGTTTAGCTTTTCTTTAGTTAGATTTAACTTTGTAATTTTATTTGTTATTTTCCTATGTTACTAAAAAAAAACATCAATCTTTATTTTGTACAATAATATTTTTAGAAAATTCTCTTCGATGAGAGGATATTTAATTTTTTATTTAATTCATTTTTATTTATTATAATTAGTTATAAAATAATTTTTAATATTTTTAAATAAATTATCAATAAATAAAAATAATATTATA